TGACAGTGTACATTTTTCATAGTTAGATATCCTAGTATAATATATATTGAGATTAAAATAATTATGTTTGGTTATGGGGATTGTGTCAAGAAGAGTGTTTGGATAATAGTATAGTAGTGCTTAATGATAAGATTTTAATTATTAATAAAAAAATTGAGAAAAAATGAAAACTTAACAAATAAGCAAAATGATCTAAGAATGTTTCTCTTTTAATATATATATATATATGATCTCAAATTGTACACAATTCGCATCTTTAAGAATTTGATCATTTTGAGGAAGATGAAAATGATTCAAATTTATCTCACAAGAGTTTATGCTGATTTTCAATATTTTTCGCATAAATTTCTCACAGTTAATGAGATTATAACTATCTTCTATAATGCAAATGAAATTACGATTATTCGAGACCATCCTCATATTTTTAACCTTGGGTTTTTTCTACAACGATTTATCTCGTTACGTTGACCTCAATGTTTGGCATGTGCATCAATCAGGAAGGAGAATTTGCGTCTTAAATTTACTGGTGCCAACTCTTTGTTATTTTGTGTTTTGTTTAGCTATAAGTTAAAATAGTGTTTAACTATTAATTTGTGCTACTATAATATAAACACAAGCCCATTTTCAACGTATCCTATCACAAATTTTTAAAGTCATTGAGCTTTTTACCATTTTTTCGGGGCTTTTGTTTCTCTGACATTTTTGGTAAATCATAGTTTTTCACCTTTGACTTCAGTATCTTTTTTAATTTACAAATTGGTGTTTTTTTATCTGCAGCGACGAGGACCTGTCATTGTGAATACAAGGTGGAATGCCCAACATATATTTTCACAAGAGAGTACATAGGAGAATAACCCTTTTTGGATATCCTGCACTAATACATTTTCGTTTCTCTCCCGATCCAACGGGTCTACTCATAGAGGTTTATCTGGATAATGAAGATGATAAATATGATCCGGATGATGAAGAAGCCAAACAAGCCCATGATGCTGAAGAAGAAACAAGTAATCCAAATATCTTAATGTTTAGTGCACCAAAGCTGGATAGTCGAACAATGCCCTTTTGCGGATGACAAATTTGTGGAAGTAGAGGTCTTCGGCAATTGTTAGCACAACTTTGGTATAATTGAACAATATCTCTCATCCACGCTCGAATTTTGATGAAATAAGAAAACTTAGGCTGATGTACACTGATATGAGAAGAGATGGGAGAGGTATAAGTTAACTTACCATGATATGAGCAAATCCCCTCCTTGGCAGAGGAGGACGAGGAACTACGTCCCACACATTCAAGTCAACATACCTAGATGAATTCATGTAATAAAGACTCTCGGTTTGAAGCAGCGGTGGGTCATCTACCATCTGAATCTCATGCCTTCGGAGAAATATCTCAGGAAGCTCGTCAGATTCAAGTAGCATGTGTCGGGAAGCATCGAATATAGGCAGGAGCTCTTCATGCTCAAAACCTTGAAGGTTTCCATCTTCTTCATCCAGATCCAGAGCT